TGTACAAACAATAAATTTCGTTATTGTATCTTTTTAATACAACCACAGGATATCTATAGTTCATCGAAGCAACTTTAATCGAAATTTTCATTGTGCATTCTGCTTTGTTTCATTGATAAACGATATCTCTCAAGTTGAGATAATCATTTCTTTTTTTTTTTTTTTTTAATGGAACAATCATGCTATAAATTAGTAATTTGCAGAATGTAATAATATTCGTTACTTATTTTCATTATACAAATTGTGGAAATTATTCTGTTTAGAGAATAAATAGCTATGAAGTAAATATTCGTTTATTTGCACCAAATATTTAGCAAGAAACTCGTGTAAAAGAGCACCAAAATGAGAAACAACAATTTTATATAGTATCTTAAAATATTTAATTAGTTTTTAAACATTTGTACGAATTTGAATAATATTTTCCAAGCTCAAATTGTTCACTATAGAAAGTCACCGGAGAAACGGATAAAATTAATGAGCTTTCCCGTGTGAATTGAAAAGCATCAAAAGGTCTAAATCCCGATTTGTTTCTCGCAGGGCAATGCTCCATTTATTTTATTGCTGCTTTTCAACGCCGTTAATGGAACGGATAAGCTCGAAAGCCATATACATAACCTTTCCCAACTCCTATTAAAACCTTGAAAAATTGCAGCTTTCCATTTCCTCTCCATTTTGTTTTGCTATAAATACAAATCTGGTTGCACGTCATTGTTTTATTGGACAATACAATCTATAGTAATAGGAAATAACAGATTAAAGTTTCAGATTTATCGAACAATCATACCATTCAACTTTTTAAATACTAATATGTAGCCTGTTTGCTGTATACTTTACAGAAATATTAATTTGCTTTATTTGTTACAGGTAGTTGCTTTCATCTTTTTATCTTTTAGAAAAATATTACAAATCATATCCTTCTTGGTGTTTCACTTGAATATAATCAAAAAAGTTAAAATAATTTCAATATCAAAATAGGAATTACAAGGTATTAAGAATATAACATTTCTTTTCATTACTCGTAGAAAACCCTTTTATATGAACTGCTCTTTTAGAGATTACATCAACTCGAATTTTCTCTACGATTTTTACTTATCTTTACATTTACTTAATTCTTCTATTAAACTATTAAGATCCTTTAAGGATTTTAGATCGCTACTTATCATATCATAATCACCCTTAAATCGTTAACACGTCTACACAACTAGCTGGTCCTTAAAGCACACTTTTGCTTCTTACCGAGCAAAAAGATGACGTACAGCTACTCTCACAGCGTTCGTAAGATATTAAGAATTTAAAATACATCATCGGTTAACATATATCGTCGGCTATCACGGAACCTGGCCAAGCGTAAACCTTCTACATCTTAACAAGTACAATTGCATAAAAAGCACTGTTACATTTTGTCGTAAAGACTTCGAATTTCCGGCTATGTTTCCTCCATATTAATTTCCGCGAGGCAAGAACAATAGCAACGTGCATAAATAACGTCGTATCATTTCTCTCGAAATTTTTCTTTTTTTATTTCCTTCTTCTCTCTTTTTTTTTTTTTTTTAGAACTTTTTATTCTGCACCGTTAACAGTTACAAACAAGTCTTAATTATCCGTCGGCGTTTCAAGCACGAAGTTCTCCATTCGTCGTGCAATTTACGAAATGGAGGCGGGCTGTCCTTTCACGGGCGTTCTTTCACGAAAAATTCGTGAGTCCACTGCCTGACGGTAATTGCAGCGCGATTATAGAGTCGGTTTGAACGTTTTCTTTCCCTGTCTCGCTGGCCTGTTTCCCATGACGGGATCTTTCCCCGCGCATCGATTGTTTAGAACGTGAAATTACGCCGGAGAATTTAATCCATTAGCGAGTTACTTGAATCCAGCACTTTCTTGGAATACATTCGTGCCCTAAGTGGTTCGTTTTATCTTCCCTCTCGTAATCGCGTTCGTTACTTCCGCCCGGGGAAGGGATTTATCTTGTTCCAGTTAAAAGCGACCGGCTAATTTTAAATCGCACCGATCGTTCTGCCTTGGTGGAATGAAGTTTTCTATTAGTTGGTTTATTACCGGAAGAAGTCTGTGGAATTCTTTTACGCGTTCGGTGGCCAAGAAATTGCCTCGATCGGCGAAGAAAAAAGAAATGAAGGAAAGAAAAGTGGAAAGAGAGTAGAACGAGAGTACTACGTTTTCTATTTGTCGTAAAATATGTTCTCGATCGAGGAGCTAATAACAGGAACGAATTTCCTTCAACGAAGCAAACGAAGCAATATACTTTCTACCATCTTCAATTTTTGTCCATTATAGTTCGATTTCTTTAAACAAAATATTCGCCATTTCAATTTGAATTAACCACTCTTTAATAATCTCTACTCTTTGATAAACGTATTTAGGGAATGTGTTTTCAACGTGTATGGGTATTTATTAATGATTCGTTGAAAATTTTACGTCACTGTTGAAACTGGGTAAACCGATTTAGAATTTACACATTGAACGATGTATTTCATGCTGGTCAATATTTACCAGAGTACACATTAATCTCATCCATATTAGCATCGATAAATATCTGCTTTTTTTTGCGATGTACACGAACTGATGAGAGGAAAGTCAGTAAATGTTTATTAAATATATATCTCATAATCAAAGCCTCTGATAAATAAATCGGAAATATCACGAACTTTTTCCTGTCATTCCTGCAATTCCTCTTATGTTTCCTGTTGCGAACGTCTAGTTTTAATGCTGACGACGTCGCCTAGAATAATTAATTATCCGAAAAACCAGATATTATTCCGAAATATAACGTTCTACGTTTAATGTCTCGGATCATGTACAAAAATTAATTAAATTAATTTTTTAATCATTTTTAATAATATTTTTAAATTAAAATTTCTAATAGTAAAGTAAATAATATGGGACCGTATTGTACTATACTGTACGGAATAGAATTAACTTTGGTCGACATTACACTACTTTCTCCTACCAAATTTCAAAAATACGTAGGAATAAAAAAGTAAAGAAGAGAAGAAACAGTTAACGATGATCAACAAATAACCGTGTAATTTTGTAATGCCTATCTTCTTCAATGAAACGATGCAATTTCACAAAAGTATTTTTATATTAAAAGAAGTTCGATCTTCTATCACACCATCTCGTTGTAAAATTCATGAACGCTGAACTCGAAGGGAATAAACAGCGAACCGTAATGCGTTCAAGACGAATCAAACGAGAATCGATGAAAGCTTCGAAACGACCACTTCAAACTCCAAACTAAATCCCAGCAAAACCAACGACGATAACATCGAAATTTCATTTCCATGTAATTGCTGGTCCTTCGATGTTTTTGGAGTCGACCGATCGCAAATATATTCAATGCACGAGCTCCATTTATTTCTTCGTCGACAAAATGCATTGATTTCTCTCACGGCCAGAAGCAGAAAGTTGGGTCACTATAGCGAAAGATAAGCACGGTTTCTTGATACTCGATGATATCAGATCGGATCAAGTTCACTGTCATCGTCTTGCTTGCCACGCTATCGCGAGAACTCGCGTTTCGATCCTTTATTAGGGAATTTAAAGTCGATTGAACGTTCGTGCTCCCTCCACGTGAGCCGCATAAAAGATTTCGTGAAGTTTCAAGAAAATTCCTCCAACAGTTTTACTCTCCTGCGGATTATACTTTCGATAAGGGGAATTTTGGATAAACTTTCGCTTGCTCAGAGCAGTTGTTATCGAAGATATCGAACGACACTACGTACGGTTTACTTGCGGCGATTCACTGGAAATATTCGAACATTCGTAAACGCGTTTTACGAATATACCACGTTTTAAAATTTCATTGGCACCGTAATGATTATTAATGATTATATTGATAAAGTTCGATACCAATCTGGAAATGTATATACATACGTATTTTATGCAAGTACAGATATTTCGCAGAGATCACAGAAATAGTAAAACGGTCGATTATTCGTTATGTTGCAATTGAAAGACAATTTTTAAAGCAGATTAATGTTTTCGAAAATTTATAAAACCAACTTGTGATTTCGATGACACTTATGATACAGCTGCAAGTAATTAATTAAAACAAACAAGCGTAAAAGAGAAAGGTATTAAAAAAGCAACCTGCATGTTTTAAAATAAAATCAATTGTATAAAAATGAATATAATACGATATTTTCATACCATTTTTCGAACAAGCGTAAAAAAAGAACAAAAAAAGATACGAAATGGGACAGATCAAATGGATAAAAGAAGAGATGAAAACAAACGATTAGTCAAATTCTATCAATGGGGTAGCTTCTGACGAAAGGGGAAATGACAACGATGCTAATAAAGATACGTCACTTTCCCAATCTCTGTGGTGACAGACCGAATAATTCACAATTCGCGTTCAATGCGTCACGTCGTTGCGTTTGATGATGACAGAGATACGTCTTTCGATTCGTTCAAAGCTTCGTTGGATGTACAAAGCTCTCGTTGTCACGTTTGTTATCGCGTAAAATCTTGTTCGTTGTTCGTCGTGTCGTACACGTTAATCGAATCGATTGTGCTAATCTTGCCAAGGAATCAGCAACAACTTGATGCTAATGAACGCGATGGTAAATGCTTACTGTAACGTAGATTAGGGTGCGCGTTGCATAGTCAGAGGAGGATAGCCGAGTTGATCGGTGGCGTAACTTGCGGTAAGTTAACCCCCACGCCACTCCGCTAAATATTGAATTACGTGAGATTCCGTTGATATGCAAACGAAGATTAATAATTTGTAAATTCAGCGCAAAATCATAGTTTTGTGAATATGATTAATAAAGATTGGCGATTCGTAGACTAGATTTTTATATAAGCTAACTCTAAATAAATATCTCTGTTATTTATCTAAATAAATTATAATTTTTTTATCTAAATAAATCTTATGTTAATTATCTAAATAAATATATCTTATGTTTATCTTAGTTTCTGTAAGTGTCCTGATATTTATAAACGGTAATGTAGATGTAATTATAGGCTGAAGCTGCAGATCTCATGACATAGGTTTTATTACTTTTCCCCTCGATCATCCACTTACTCAGATATTCTCGCTACATAAAGCGGAGGTATACGTATAAAAATAAAAGTAATGGTAGATTTTATTCACGCTAGTGATTGTAATCGTTAACATTAACGAATTTCTTAGGTGATTATTGACGAGCGAATATGCTAATAATCTATTTCGCTAATTGTATTCATTATCCGTTTTGCACGATGTAACTAGTGATTCGTATTATTCTTATCGTTGATTTTGATGATTCATTTTTATGAAAATTAATGAAATACGCGATACAAAAATAATTGTGTTTTGTATGGTAACTTGACGGATGAAGTTCAATTTCACGCCTATAATATTTGGTAAACACCAACTTGATAAAACTACACGTAATTTTACTTTATAAAAAATAAAAATTCTGTCCTACATAATTCTGGAAATCCTTTCATAAATTCATCGCAAACATCCAAGCTGCAGGTACTGTAACTTGTATTCTATACTCTTTAAACAACAAACTGTGAACGTGTAAAAAAATAGAACAAACGAGAATTAAAACATTTTATCGATTTCGTTGCAACATTCTATTTTTGTACAATATTTTAAAGGGTGTTATCTTTTCTCTTTTGTCTCTCCTCATTCAATTGCTCCAGCTCTTTGTATCTCTTTCTCGTCACGATATTCCGTGTACGTGAAACTTGTATTTAAACCTGAATAAAGATAGCTTCTCGGGTAAATTTATTCCAGAGAAGCTCGCGTAACATTTTTCTTCCCTTGTAGTTCTTGATACGCTACTGTTGAATTTCGTTTGTTGAACAATTTATTCTATCAAATAGCTAAAAGTAGAATTGTAAATTCACGTTGCCACGTAGTTATTCAAAAGGTAAATAACGACAAAGCCAAGAATCACGGACAAGAGCTGCCAAACGCCGGCGGATCGTCGCAGATTTCTGTGCCATCTCGCCCTCTCTCTTGGCAAGATTTCGCTAACCGTTACGTACAATAACGTTCCACCTGCTAAACCTTGAAGAATCGGTACAGCTACGTCTGTCCACTTATTCTGCATCTACACAAATCATTACGCAAATTACTGTTTTCTATTCCTGGGATTTAACCCTCTTGCGTTCATTTTTCAATCAACTAAATCATTTTAATTAGAATTAGTCTTTTTCAGAAATTAGAACGATTAAACTTAAATTTAATAATATTATTCAAAAATTACAATTGATTAAACTCTTAGCTCTTAAATCATTTTTTCGATTTTTATTAAATATCTAGATATACGACGAGGAAATATAATTTGTATGAAATTGGATTAAGCATAGGTCAAAGAACCATATTGATTGTAAATTAGAACCAAGTTAAACAGACGTAAATTTCTTACTCACTTTGAATGTTAACATTCCGACTCCTATACCAACTGCAGATCCAGCGGAGAATACAAAGATTGCTAGTACGAGCCTAAAAAGAGTGCTATTAGCTCCGGCTAGTTCTAATCCTAAACAGAATCCAACGACGAACTTATGGGAAGCTACTGCTCCAACTAACAAAAATACCTGTAATCAAAGATTATACAAAAATTATATTCCCCATAAATGCATAGATATCCTCGATTTATCGCCATATCGTATCGTCCATATCACGTTTACGCTATTTGGAAGCATTACACACTTCGGACGTAGCCTTTTGCAGGCCAACCGCCAGTCCTTCGAGGACAGCATGGACCGTGAGCGCCAATAAAAGTCCCATGATGTTGGTATTGGAATCTGAGCACGGCTCTGAATGATTGCCATGGCATAAAAACGTCTCTTCGTTGTTATAATGATGTGGCGCGGTCGGTGTATATTGTACCGCTCCGTAACCTTCGCGTTCCCAGTTGCTGACCATTCCGTTTCCGTCTAGACTCGTCTGATAAGACGTATTAAAGTCGGCATTGGGAACGCCTCTGACAGTCCGCGTACCCGTGTTATAGCTCACTTGATGCGAGTGACTCCGGCAACGCTCCCTGTAAATCCACAAATCCATTTTCACAATTGACTTTCACTTTACGTACGAATGGCCGGTTCATCAGTCGACTTTGATGCAACTAGCACAAATGAAATTTCAATTGATCCCAGCTGGTAATTCAATCTATCATTGCTAGAAAAGATATAACAGCTCGAGACGTTTTATACGCTGTGTGAATTTCGTTTTATACCAGCAGACCATGGCCACGGTATTCTGAGACACGTTTATATTCATTTTACCGTAATTATATCTTGTAACATCGTTCGTGGACATTCTTTAATTAAATTCCTAGTTAAATAATATTTGGAACATTAATATCTCCCAAGATGAATTTTAAAGCGGCGAGCCAATCTGTCGACGTAAAATCAGCTTAGTCTTCGTGCAAACGATTCTTATATCAAGCTTGGAAAAAAACAGACGGTATCAGTAATGAAAGATAATCTCGTGTTAATATCTTTTAATTGTATTGCATTTGATTAGTACCATATCAAAGTAGTTCAATTGATCTCATCAAATACAAAGAGAAAGTATACATACGCATTTTGATACAAAATTCGTATTTATTTTATTGTAATTCATTTAATTATGAAAAAAAGCAAAATTGCTGTTTATGATATATATATATATATATATATATCATAAACAGCATATATATAATATATAATATATATATATATATATTACTCAGATATTCTCGCTACATAATATATATATATATATATATATATACTACAAAAATGTAAAAAATGATCCATACCAATTTTAAACCCATTTCGATTTATCCACATATATATACCCAACCTATCGCAATGATAATCAAATGATAAATCAGTCTTTCTGATTTAATATTCAATCTTCGTATTAACGTTCGATTTTCCGCGTACAGAGATTATGCCGATTTTTCACGCCAAAGCGACCAATAATATTAAAATAACAAAAGAATTACACAGTTATCAGAAGACAAGCGCAAGAACATATCATTTCTACTTCTCACCACTTTCCTGCTCCTCTTCCATTATCAGTTATTTACAAAGACACGGAGTATATTATTAGACGATCTAGGATTAAACATAGGATTACCTACTACTGGCTGATTCATTCAAGCTGCAGACGAAATACTAATTAAACATTAAATACAAAAGTTAAATGTAAGTTGCTATTTTAGAAATAGAAATCTTATAAACCGGTTAAAATAAACTGCTATTATTCTGCAATAGATAAAATTGCTAAAATATTAAACGTCACTGTTGACAAGTATATCGAAACCTTTATTTTTGGAAAAGAATCAAAGTTAAGTAGATGAGACAAAAGATAGTTTGTAAGGTAGCAGATAACAAATTTTATCTATTAATTGATAAACTTTCGTAAACTTGATTAAGAAACTCTTCACGTTATTTAACGTAGAATTATATACGATGTTATATGTGTACTAATACATTAATATTTATCAATGTAAATATATACATACTACATCAATATACTTCTATAGGTACATGTATATGTACTCTAGAAAAGTAAAATGAAAATTAATTTTCTGAATAACAAGAAACAACCATATAAAAAGAAATGACATATAAAATCTTCAATTTGTGGTCTATTACTCTGTGTATCGGTCTATTGTCCATTAATTTTTACGTTCTAAATGACATGTCAACAACTTGAAATAGTGCTTGTAAACATAATTCGTAGTTGCAACACTACAACTAAATATAAAAAATTCCATTCCGATATGAAAGTGCCATTAATCATCGTATCGCTATAGAATACTCCAATAGAATACTCCAGAATCCTTTTCTTAAACAAGTAATCTTTGATTATCACGATATATTAAACAGAATCGTGCATGTACTTATATACGTACGCCTGGTTTCCATTATTCCAGTTCGAGTTTTCGTAACGATGTTCCTGCGGAACATGCTGGTCTTCACTGCCCCAAAAATAATGGACACATTCGTCTATAAGATACAAGAGAAGAAATCCGCATGAAAAAAGTAGTTCTGCGTGTTTAGACATAGATTCCCGTGTTTCCGGTAACATGTGCAGAATAGAAGTTGCGAACAGAACGCCACCACCAAAACACAGTGTGCAAGAGAGAAGGAGCTTCTGTTGAAGATATCTCACGCGTGAAACAAAACACACCGGTGCAACACCAACGACAAAGCTGCCAACGCCGATGATGATCATCGACGCGAGCTTCGCCTGGACCACGGTGACCATCATTTTCCAGACGATGCACGGAATATGTTCACTGCTGACTGACACTGGCAGCAACACTCATCAAAACGATTGACGCTAATCTGGCAAGCGTGATAAGGTCAACCGACTCGAGAGATACGAACGCGATCACGAGTTCCTCTCTCTCGAAAATTGATTATCGGGAAAATTCGATGGTTCTCGCGTCTGAAAATGGGCATCGTATCGAGACCCGTGACTTCGTTATTATCTGTCACTAACTACCGTGGTATACCGTGGTATCGAGATTTAACGGCCGTCAATGATAAATGACGCAGCATAGAGAACGCGTAAAGTAACACTGGCCGGAAGCGATCCATAGGTGGAGACGGCAGCGATCGCAGTTTTATTTGATATTGATAACCTTCTGCGATATATTCTTACATTCTTTATTTAACTACACAGAATGGTTTCTTTAAATAGAGAAAGTATAAAAATACGCTCTTCAATAAGTATATAATTATGTTATTTTAGCACAAATGTATATTTATAAAATGAGAAGTATTTTTAAACATTATTTTGTAAACGTACAACATAAATACTATTTCTATATAAAATTATGATATTACTACCTTGTACAATATGTATACGTATAATTATATTTATATTCTTTTAATACTAAATTAAGACTAATTAAAATAAATATTTTCGATTTTTATACTATTACATTACATATTTTTTCGTATCCTTATAATACTAAATATGTTTGCAAAGATATTTTCCTTTACACGTTAATATTTTAAAATAAGTACAATTTATTATTTAATCAATTTTCGACGACCCGTTAGAAAGGATTATGAACATTTATTTGATTATATAAATACTAAAAACGTGATTAATAGTATTACATAACAATCACATTTGCAATCAAGATCATCGATATTTTAGGAATTGAAACAAAAAAAGTTTAATTTTTCAAAAGTTTTTGATACAAGAGAAGTACTGAAAATACTATTTAAATTATACGTATTTATGTATATGCTTTTGATTTCTTATATTTATATAACTTAATTTTAAGAAAAAAAATTAAGATAATTAAAGAATTAAATTTATTAGTATTGATTTCGTATTATTACCGACAAATGTTAAATATCAATATAATGAATGCAATGAACCAGTGGCTTTCTCTGAGACAATTAGATAAAAAATTGCTAAATCATAAAAAGATGTAAATATATTAATTTAAACAAACTTCGCTCATACAATAAAACAAAAAATATGAGCTGTAAAGAGGAAGTGTTTCATAGAAAAATGTAGATTGTGTTTTAAAACCTAAGTTCTATCTTCTAAGAGAGTCGACTATGTAAATATTTTGTAGTATAAAAAATCAAATAAAAATCGACATAGCCTACATTTGTATAAAAAGTTGCCACTAGTAAAGCTGTAATAAATAATAAGTATAATTAATATTAACTGGTATCACAAATATAATTAAATATTATAAACGTACTGCTAAGGTTATGTTACATGAGACAATTTAAAACGCTGCTTTTCTTAATTAAAATATGAGTTCACGATACAAATCTAATAATAAATTTAGGCGTAAATATCAATATGATGATGAACAAAAGAAAAGTAAATACGATTCAAAATTACCATACAGTACAGATTATGATAAAAAAGAGATTTTAGACCAAAAAAGTGATTTTTCTCAAGAAATCACTAATAAGAATACCGAAGACTTTTATTTTAATAAATATAAGCATGAATTGAATAAAATATTCTCAGGAAATTTAAATGTAATCCAGGATACTGATGATTTTTGGAGATTTGTTAATAAATATGAAACTGTACAGAAAAAACTAAGAACACCAGATATTTTACCTAATTTTTCACTAAATACTATCGGTGTGCCAGAAACATACCACAAATTACATTGCATAAATTTCAAATTAAGTTATAATTTTAATGAATTATTTGCACGTGTAATGCCAGTTAAAGCATTAACAAAAGAACGCTTATTGAAGTTTCAGAACATAATTATTTTATATTTAGACTTTAAGCAAAAAGAAAAATTTGCCAAGTTAAAAAAACTCAGGAAATCACAAGTAAATCTACCAGTTTATCAATATAAACATGAAATTATTGAAACAATAAAACAGGAACAGGTAGTTATAATAGCTGGTGATACTGGTTGTGGAAAATCCACTCAAGTGCCTCAATACTTATATACAGCAGGTTTTCAAAAAATTGGTACATACAATATAAGTCTTATATTTAAGATTACAAATATTATATTGAACAAACTATAATTTTTCAAGAAATATTATGTTATACTAAAAAAATACTTTTTATAGCTTGTACACAACCAAGAAGAATAGCTTGTATATCTTTAGCAAAACGTGTTGCTTTTGAAACATTAACAGAAAACTGCAATGATGTTGGTTACCAAATACGTTTTGAAAAGCAAAGAAATCAAAATACCAAAATTACATTTATAACAGAAGGTCTTTTGTTAAGACAGGTAACAATAAGACTATAATAAATGTCTAGTAATATAGTTTACATGTTAAATGTTGTAATTGTAATATATATTTGATATATTGTATGTTTTCCATAGTTATCTGGAGAATTTGAATTATTACCTTATGATGTAATTGTTTTGGATGAAGTGCATGAACGTCACCTACATGGAGATTTTCTTCTTGGTATTATGAAATGTATTATTAATCAAAGGCAAGATCTAAAATTAGTACTTATGTCTGCTACGATTAATATTGAACTTTTTAATAATTATTTTTCAAAGGAAAATGTTAAAGTAATACAGGTATATTTATAATCATTTAACTGACAAACCCATTAAGAATGATATTATGATAGTATGTAATTAACTAATTTGTAGGTTCCTGGAAGGTTGTATCCTATTCAGTTATTGTACAGGCCTGTTACTATAGAAGATATTCGATATAAAAATGATAGATTCAATCCAAGTCCTTATATACAAATAATGCAAATGATTGATCAGAAATATCCAGGTAGAAGATTTTACTTTCTTACAAAAAAAATTAGTCACTTGTATCATAGTAATAATTGATATTTTCAGCTGAAGAAAAAGGCGATTTATTAATATTTTTAAGTGGAATGAGTGAAATTACTGCCGTTGTAGATGCAGCAAAAGAATATAGCCAAAAAAAAAATAATTGGATTATCTTAGCACTTCACAGCACCCTAGCTATTAGTGAGCAAGATAAAGTAAATTTTTACATGTTTGCTTCAAAAAATTCATGTTTATAATCCTGATAGAACTCATGTCATATTTTCTTTTTTAAAGGTATTTGATTTTGCTCCTGAAGGAGTGAGAAAGTGTATTGTATCTACTAACATTGCTGAAACTTCTATTACTATAGATGGAATAAGATTTGTTGCTGACAGTGGGAAAGTAAAAGAAATGAGTTATGACCCATCATGCAAAATGCAACGACTCAAAGAATTTTGGATTAGCAAAGCTAGCGCAGAACAACGGAAAGGAAGAGCTGGTAGAACTGGACCTGGAGTATGTTATAGGTATCGTAGTCAATTATTAAACTAGAATATATATTTCGTAATATTCTCATGATTTAATGTACTAAGATCTTAAATCAAACAATTTTTTTTATAGATTATACTCTGAAGAAGAATATATGTCTTTGGAAAAATACTCAACTCCTGAATTACAACGTGTACCTTTAGATTCCTTACTTCTACAAATGATTGCAATGGGACTTCCAGATGCACGAAAATTTCCATTCATAGAACCACCTTCACCAGAAAACATTGAAAATTCTATATTATCTTTAAAAGAACATGTTAATATACTTATATAAGTCACATAATAATCTATACACGCGAGTATGATTAATATAAATAAAGTAATATTTCCAATTTACAGGGTGCGCTAACGGATAATGAAAAAATAACATGTATTGGAAAAACACTCGCACGCTTACCTGTTGACATAACAATAGGGAAAATGTTAATAATGGGTTCTATTTTTCACCAAGTAGAACCAGTCTTGTCATTAGCTGCTGCCTTAAGCATACAAACACCATTTACAAATAGAGCATATAGGGATTCAGAATGCGAGGTAATAAAATGTAATTTATACATTTTTTACATATAAAAAACAATAATCTTGAAAAATAATTCTGAAGACGTCTAGGAAAAAATTGGAATCTGATCATGGTGATCCAATAACATTACTAAATGCATTTAGAGAATGGTTAGAAGTAAAACAACAAAGTTCTCAAGAATCCAGAGGTAGTGGTAACAGTAGTAGAAAATGGTGCAAAAGAAGAGGTTTAGAGGAACAGAGATTTTATGAAATGACAAAATTGAGAGCACAGTTTAAGGAATTACTTCAGGTAAATTATTAAGTTTCTAATATTAGCTTATCAAACTTTATTTAAAAATTAATTGCTTCTAACTAACAGGATTGCAAATTACTGAGGAGTCTCCCAGAACCAAATTCTTCTATGTCCAGTGCAGAACGTGCTATAAGACATGGAGAGCTTAAACTTTTAAAATCATTAAAAAGAACCTACAAACAAAGTGAACCTAGAAAGCGAAAACAATTAAAACTAGAATCATTTGATATTCAATTAGAAGATAATGATCATGATGATGGTGAAATTGACATAAAAGATATCGAATTTCGAATGAAAAATGATCCAAATCAAGTGCAAAATCTATTAACAGCAGCCACTGCATGTAGCTATAAAGATTTAACAATGTTAAAATTAATACTCTGCAGTGGTTTATATCCACAATTTGCATGTGCCGATGAATTTAATTATTGTAAGGTAATATTATCGTATATATTTAAAATAAATTAATTATTCGTCGTTACATAATATGAACTTTTGCAGACAACAAACGAGCAACTGTTTCATACAAAAGCAAAACCATATATTGCTTTACACCCAATGAGTTTCTTTGGAAATCATCCCCAAGTATTGCAATTGGAGGAAGCTGATATTGTATCAATACCAGGTTTTAAAAGTAAAACTGCCGTTAGTCCAAAACATACAATATTAACATATTTGTAAGTTCTTTTAATAATATTTTAAGATAGCATATGAAAACTTTTACTTTGATTGATCATATATTAATTTAACAGATCTCTTTTGGAGACAACAAAGCCTTATCTAGTAAATACACTTAGAATGCCTGCTGCACAAACATTACTTTTATTTACACGTGAAATCGACACAAATAGTACATTTTCAATGTATGTACATATTATATATAATGAAATTAAAAAAAAATCTTTATTGAATTAATATCTGTTTATTTTTTATAGAATGATATGTGATTCCTGGTTAGAATTAAAATTTCCTATACCTGATAGTGGTCAGATTTTACTGATGAAAGCTACCAAATTACGACATAAATGGGATTTCTTATTAAATCAACAATTACAAGGTATAGAATGAAACATGTAAAAAATATTAAGTTAATATGTAATATTATAAATGTATTTATGTTGTAATATTATATTCTAAAAGTAATACATAAATATTTTACAGATTCAAGTACCAGCAATGATGAAAATCAGGATTTCAGTGAATTTGAGTACACACTTACTCAAGATTTAATTGAATATATGCATACAACTGTTCCATATACACTAAAACGGCTTTTACCGGCTGATCTTAAAACAATATATGTGGGATGTGGTGAAAACAGCATATTGATAGATCCAAACCCTTTTCAATCAGATTTTGTAGTAATACCCAACTCAATTAAAGGAGGAGTTCGCGTAACAAACACTATTACATATAATTGGTAAATTAATAATATATTTTTATAACAAAACAAAATAATATAAAATAACCAAAAAGTATAATTTCTTTTTAGTGTGAAAGAAACTGAATGGAGTGATCGACTTTCTACAGAAATTTTAGCAACACAATGGCATTGTTCAAATTGTAACATGCAAGCAATTCTAACAAGCATAGAAAAATTACAACACCAACAATCCTGTGTTAAAGCAGATATAAAAGATGTTGAAAAACATGACAACATTAAACGTAAACCTAATGCACAAGCATATGAATGTTCTGATTGTGCACAAATATTATACTTAACACCAATTGAAATTCTTAAACATAAAAAATCTCATGTTAAATAAAGTATTTATTTGATAATATAATAATGTACATTAAATCTTATATTTCATTATAGAATGAAGCAATATTTTTCATATAGTGACATTTTACATTTTTTGTATATACATTCATTTTAAGTTTATAAATTAACTATATAATCTTTTTACAATATGTGCATATATAAAATTATGTCCATGGTAAAAAGTTTGAGAACATAAAACAACCTACAACTCCATATCCTATAAAATAGGAAAATATAAGTTTATCCTTCAAAGTATATTTCTTCTTTGTTAAAAAGAATACTTTCCACTTAGAAAATACATTTTCCTTATCATCATATAAATTATTATCATTATTAGGACATAAATAACACATTGACAAAGCACAATACCAATATATCAATGGACTTGCTGAACTTATTAAACGGGTGCTTACTTGAATGTGCACAAATAGAATACAGAAGATAGTTAAAAATAAACCATGAATAACAAATACTAACATTTCAGTTGGATACTTTTTTCTTTCAGTTTCTACGTCATTTCCAATAACTTTAATAAATCCCAATGTATAAAAATACTTCTTATGTTCAAAAAAATATTCCTTTATACATCTAATCATAATATACAATATTGGAAATGCTAAAATAAAGTTTGGTATTTGTTTTATTTCATAGTAATTCAGAAATCCTATATTCCAATATCTTTTTTGTATGTAAGAATATGCCATTGGAATTTTTGAATGGCACCATTCTAAATTATTATTACCAGGCAACACTAAATTGTTAACTATACTAAAATTAGTAATATGTTCAGGAATAAATGTTAGATTTAAATTAGGAGTACAAAACATAAGATAATTATATGTTTGTAACAAAACAAGTGGAATTATTGATATAATTATTGTATTAAACATTAGACAAAATATTTTTAATGTACCTATTTTAGAAATAAATTGACAAAGTGTTTTTAATGAAAAGTTTACATTTTTTTCTGTATAAGTGTGTAACAAATTTTGCAATTGATAATATATAGGGAAACCAATATTAACCATTCCATTAGATCTTGTAAGAATGGATAAACCTACTGGAAAAGATACATATGGATCTAATTTAATGGATCTTAACATACTGTAATATGATAAGTATGCAAATAAAGATTCTGAATAAACAGCTGAAAAGAATATGGTAGCTGGGTTTATGCAGTACAATATTGCTGCTTTATAAGCTACACTTGTTGATTTTAACACTGCCTTACTAAGATCATAAAATATAACAGCAGATTTTACAAAACATATAATATTAACTAACATAGCTGTAATAAGTATAGAACTATTAACATTTAATACAAAGAATATTTTTCTTATAGGAACAGAAATAATTCGAAGTAACATAGGATACAATGGATAGAAGGCCAATGTGTTCTCATATGTATAACCATATTTTGCAATATGCAAAAAGTATTCACCATCCCATCGTGTAAGACCACTAAATAGAAATGTTACTATACTGTCATATAATGAAATTTGTTCAGAATTATCAGTAGGAGCTTTAAATGCATCTGCATTGTGATCAGGACATATAAAATTAAAAAAGAATTGTAAACTTAAAACTATTATCCTACTAATTATTGCAAACCAAAAAACTTTCCTTCGTGCTTCGTACATTCTATTACAGCATATAGCAATATTTTGATTTAATATTGCTATTAATTATACTTCTTCTATTAAAATTCAATTTAAATTCTTTTCCAGTTGTCAATATAAATTAATTTCTCTGATAGGCATTCTCTTACTATATGTAGACAGAAAGATTTTAAACGTATTATGTAACATATTCCTTTCTCTCAAACTCATAATTGTTATATTATAAGAGTGTGTGGCTAAAAAAAATATTTAAATTACATTATGTTAATGACCTTCTTCTAATTCTCATAATTTATTATATATTTTCTATTTATCACATATTTTTCCTTATTTTCCTTTATTTTTGTTACATTAGTTTTCAATATACTAATTTATAAACTACCAAATATAAAAATTACATTTTTAATTAAAATTATTTCCTGTTTAATTATAATATTGTAATATTGTTATAAATATGACCTACCTAAGAAGCCAAGTTATAAATGAACTTCATTTGTACAGCAATCAGTATGATCACCAATATATTTCAACATTCAATATCCTGAAGGCCATCAGTACAGCATCGAATTTAAATATTCTGAAATCAACATTAGACACATACATATTGCAATTTTCAAATGAATCATTTTTTTTTTTTTTTTAGTAAGCTACACGATACAAGAATTTTTTAAAATTCAATTTAGTAATGCAATTATTCACCTGCTATCAGTACCCTAATAACTAAGAGTCATTAAATAAGAATATAATTTTTAAAGACATAATATACATGTGTTTATTTTAAATTCAGTTTTAAGATTACAAAAGCATGATTCTATTCTGCATATTCAATTTTATATAAATGCAATACTATTGCATTTGTATATACTTTTTCAGCTTTGACTTATTACTATAAATATATTTTATTATACAAAAAAATGTTATCATATAAAAAAATTATACAATTTTTTTCAGACATGTAGCAGAGTTATATTTTTACACCACAAACTTTTTTAGCATAATCTACAATATGATGATCTTTTGGTGTACATTCATATTCGATATTTTCTGCATATGGCATAGGTACATCAATACCAGTGCAACGGACTGCTGGTGCATCAAGTTGGAAAAATATTGGGTTTTCCATTATTGTTGCCACAATCTCAGAGCCTACTCCACATATAGGCCAACCTAATTCAACACTCATAAGTCTGTGGGTTTTTGTAACAGATTTAAAAATTGTATCCCAATCTATTGGTCTAAGAGAACGTAAATTAATCACTTCTGCTTCTATCCCTTCTCCTGCCAGAATTTCTGCTGCTTGCATTGTATACAAGGTAGCTTGACCATGTGCAGTTAAAGTAATATCTTTACCAGGTTTTTCAATTTTAGCTTTACCAATGGGTATAACAAAATCTTTATCCATAGCTTCATCTGATACAGGAAATTGAACATTATATAAAACTTCACTTTCTAAAATTACAACAGGATCAGGATCTCGAACAGCAGCTTTTAAACTACCCCTATAATCTTCACAAGTTGTTGGTGACATAACTTTTAAACCAGGTATGCTCATGTACCATCCTCCAAAACACTGAGAATGTTGTGCTGCTAAACCTTTAGCATTACCATTTGGACCACGAAATACAATAGGTACAGGATATCTTCTTGCAGACATGTAAAGATTTTTAGCAGCAGCATTTACTATTCGATCAATAGCTTGCATTGAAAAATTAAATGTCATAAGTTCACATATTGGTCTTAGACCAGCAAGTGCTGCTCCGATGGCTAAACCACAAAATCCAGCTTCTGTTATAGGTGTATCAATTAATCTTTTGTCACCATATTTTTTCCACAGACCTTTTGTTACTTTATAAGCACCATCATATTGTGCAACTTCTTCTCCCAAAATAAATACATTTTCGTCTCGTGCTAATTCTTCGTCAAGAGCTGCATTTAATGCATCTCTTACAGTCATTTGTGTAACATATTTATAGCTTTGTTTTTGTAGAATACGTATGTTTGACAACATAGTATTCCTTAAGAAGCATATGAAATGCATTTTACATCATAAAAATATAATTATAGTAAATTATAAGTTGTATATTTTAAAACTATAAAATTTAAGACAAAACAATAATACATCTATTTTCCTTCTTTATATATTTCAGGTTAGACAATATACTTGTATAACGAATTGCATACATTAGGCATTAATTTTTTTACTTTTGGCAGTATATAATAAAAAATGGGTAAATAGTGATACATCAGACTACACTATTACTTATTAATGATTATTTTATTATTTAAAGACCTTTTTGTATGACAATCATATATAAAGATTATATAAGACTTAATAATTTTGATGTATTTTAAACTTCATATTGTAAAATACAAAATCACTTTTCCATGGCCTACTTAAAGGAATAAATGTTTTTGCACATTTGAGTACATATATATTCTATATTCTATATCAACTTCTAATAAAAAAATCTTAATCTTAGAGACAAATATTAAAAGAATCGCATCAAAATTAATACATTTTGTAGCTGACATGATAAAAATAATGCAATTATGAAAAATAATGTTTCCAGTAGGAACATAAATCGACTTTTTTAATGTCACAATAACATACACAACAATTCGAAAATGATTTTAAATACAATTTTAAATACAGCTAAAACTGTATGTTTGTATTCAACTTAACATCAAAATTGCATTTATTCTAATTTTTCTTTTTTTTCACTAATCTCCTTCATTAATCTTCTTCTGTACTAATTTTTTTTAAAATGTACGATGAGTAATACTGTAATAAACACATTTTATTAAATTATACAAAATTTGATAAATGAATTTGTAAACCTTTTCTAACCTATTCAGAAGAAAAAAAAGAATATTTAATTTATCTTAATTCTAATATACATATATTAAGTTTGAAATATTACGCGTTTTTATCAGTATTGTTATAATAGTAATTGATTAGATTACCTCTAGTATAAACATATCAACTAGACTTATTAAACTCTACTTTATTTTAAATTGATAACAAATAATGATATCACTATTGACAACAAAAACACTACTTTAAGAAGTCAAATGAGGAAATAAATTATTTTTAGTTTTCTTAAAGCTTATAATGAAGAAATGTAATATCTAATTTCTATTTTTATGTTTATTAATACATTATTTAATAGATTTAATTGTTACAATAAAATTTAAATAATGAAATCTAGTGACTACAGTTCTAGTTAACGGAATAGGTATAAAATGAGATCATATGAGATTTTAACATTTATTTCCTTAACAATTAAATTTGGCTGTCATACAAGCTTTGATGTTTCACTGAGATATTAAATAGTCATTTTTATTGTGCTCACTTCTATGTTTATATAAAATTAAATGTATCAGTTTATTGTTTCGCTACCTACTATAAGTGATATCTTCTGTATACTTTTTTAATGCTGTAAATATGTATATAATATAAAGTATTATGTATGATAACAATTGTGCCATAATAAAATCATTAACAGTAATTTCTTATATATTCTTATGTAATTTCAGTATAGTATGATATACATAATCTCGTTTTAATCGTAGAAAGATATAAAGACTATAATGAATAAGGTTATGTTTACAAATGTTATAACTTTTAGTAAATTACTAAAAGTAAATCATGAAATTACAAAATTTCCAACTAAATTTCTACATATGCGTAAGTATTTTAAAAATTAAATACAATATCTGCAGTATTAAATACAATATAAAGAATAATGTGACAATTTTGGTTCTAGAATTTCAAATCCTCTTTTCAAAGGAAAATGAAATGTCTGAGAGTCCAAGAATGCGTGAATTTAGAAAAAAATTAAGAGAACGTACACCTATAGGTATTTATTTATCTTAAGGGGGTATTCTAGTCTAGAAATTTGAAAAAATCGAAAATTTTTTTCATATTTCCAAAGTTTAGACATTCAAGAATATGCCCTTAAAAGGATTTTTTAAAATTTCAATTATTTTATAAATTATAGCCATTTTTGTGACGCGGCATGTGCTCCGATCCGACATAAAATCATTACTGTATTTTATGCCTTTTTTAAGGTATTTTTAATTCAAGGCCAAAAAAACGTATTTTGTCGGAATTTTTTCATCTTAGTACTTATTTCAAGTTAGTTTCGAGCCAGCCTTCAAGCAACGTGTACGTGCTAACTCTGACAACGTTTTATAAATATTTGAAGTAAAAATTGTTTTATATATTGAGATTTTAAAGTAAAATGGATAAAAAACATTCAAAATTCAGCTCTAAACGGGCATGCAGACCAAAGAAGAGAAGATTTTCCAGTAATCAATTTACTGTAGAAGAAGAAACCAGTTTCACTAGTGCATCTGCAGCAAAATTGAAAAGTTCGCAAGATGAAGAAGTTTTAATTAATAACAATTATGGCTATTGTATTTTAGAATTTTTCTCTGTTTTTACCACACTTTCATCGTTAATTCTGTGTTCTACATGTAAGAAAGATATTAAATTTTCTCGTACAGCTGCTCATGGGTTAGGGTTTAAAATTGCTATACAATGTGGGTGTGAGGAAGTACGGTATGTTCAATCATCGCCTTTTATCAATAAAGCATTTCAAGTGAATTGTAGACTTGTAGTAGCTATGAGATTCTTAGGAGTTGGAAGAGAAGGTATCAACATATTTTGTACTATGATAGACATTTGCCAAGGCTTGACCATTAGCATATATTATAGCTGTCTTAACAATTTATACGTGGCCGCTTCAGCAGTTTACGATCAAATTATTTCAAAAGCCGTAAAAGAAGAAAAGGAATTAATATTAGAGTCTGATCCTACAGCTAATCCCAACCATTTGACTGTTTCCGGCGATGGTACCTGGAAAAAAAGAGAATTCAATTCTCTCTTTGGTGTTACTACGTTCGTTGGTAAATACAGTTGTTGTACAGTTGTTGGTAAAAAGTTGTTGATACCATAGTAAGATCTAGTTTTTGCCAAGGGTGTAATCAATGGAAACACAAAAAAAATTATGACATCAAGGCTTATGAAGATTGGTATGAAGAGCATGAGAAATCTTGTACCATAAATCGTAAAGGAAGCACCGGAAAAATGGAGGTTGACGCGATTGTTGAAATGTTTGAAAGGTCGGAAGCCAAGCATAATGCTAAATATGTCCGATGCATTGGACATGGTGACTCAAAAACTTTCAAAGGCATTCTTTATATTAACCCCTACGATGATGACCCGATAGTAGTAATATGGGTGCACGGTTGCGTAAAGCAAAAAAGGATAATAAAGGTATTGGCGGCAAAGGCGCTGGTAAACTCACTGATGAGGTTATCAATGAATTATCTTTATACTATGGCTTGGCAATTCGTTGAAATCCAGATTCAGTTGAAGACATGAAGAGAGATGTGTGGGCAACCTATTATCATAAAATCTCAACCAACAAGAATCCTCAACACATGAATTGTTCACTTGGTTCATTTAGTTGGTGCAAGTGGCAAAAAGCTGTGGCCGACGGTACTATTGACGAATTTGACCATGAAAATTCTCCTCTAAATGACGACGTTTTAAAAGTAATAAAACCAATTTATGAAAGCTTATCAACTGATACTTTACTGGAACGATGTTTGGGTTCTGAAACCCAAAATAATAACGAATCGTTAAATTTATTAATATGGACTTTTACTCCAAAGTACATCCACGCAGGAACGCAGACAATTCAAATTTCCACTTTCCTCGCAGTATGTATTTTTAATGAAGGTTTTATACCCATATTAAAAATCTTAAGTGTCATGGGAATCACGATTGGCCCAGAAGCTCATGCGTTCGCAGTCAGGCGAGACGAAGTTCGCATCGAGCACTCTGAACTCCGAGCTTCAGAGGCATCAAAGGAAGCCAGGACTGCTCGTCTCCATGAAAGAACTTCGGAGAATAAGCATTTTGAAATAGAGAAAGGTTTCTTGTATGGAGCAGGAATTGCCGATATGTAAATATGCTGTACCATTCTATGAGTAAAATTGCCGGAAACTTGTCTTAAAACTTTAAACGCGTTTTTCTCGAAACTACTTTTTTCGAGTTGGCGTGCACGATATCTCAAGTTCTAATGAACCGATTTATTTGAAATTTGGTATGAATGTTCTTTATAACATTCCTCTATCGCCTGAACCACGCTCAGATCAAAATTTTTAATTTTACTATTTTTTAAACATTCGGAATTGTTAAAAAAACATGCGAAACAAGAAACTTTCCTTCAAACGGCCGCCATTTTGTGAAAAAATGTTATTTTGACTTTTCCAAGGTTCATGCTATAGCGGCATCTATACTAATTAAGAATTCGTTCGCATATTTTGTTTCAGATGACCAAAAGGGTTGAAATCATGCACGCCAGGACACCCTTTTTTTTTGGTACCATCCACTTTGCCAGCTCATAACTTTGTGAATTTTGAGTTTTTTTCGGTGAATTTTTTACGTAATCTTAAAATATCAATAAACAAATTCTAAAAAAAAGGATAGCAAAAATATTTTTTGTTTCGTTTGTACAGAGCTTCAAAAATCGCCCGAAATTCATGCCTCTAGACTAGAATACCCCCTTAAGAAATTTATTAAATATATAATATTAATTATTCATAAAAATAGTGGTAGTAAAATAAAATTGTTTTACATGCAATAGAAAAATTGGAAGAACTGGAAGAAGGCAAACATCCTTATCAAGAAAAAGAACCATTGAAACCATTTCCAAATGATACTAATCCGGAAACAGGTGAAGTAGGAGGTCCACGTGGACCAGAGCCAACACGATATGGTGATTGGGAAAGGAAAGGTCGAGTAACAGATTTCTAAATATTTTTTAGTGCATTGTATAATTGTACATAAAAAATATAGTTTATACAAGATGTACAATTAAAAATATGTATAATTTAGCAATTTAAATTAGAATAAAAAACTTACTGTGTATATGTATAAAGTATAAAATAATAAATATTATATTTACATTAAAAAAAATGTAGCCTTCACTTTTAGAGAATCATGCTTTATTCTGTCATACTATTCCTTTACAAACATTTTTAACTAATGGATAAACAATTAAGTATCAAATTACAATGATAAAAGGAAAATATAAAACATCTGACAACTTATATAAAATTGTATATATATACATAGATTATATATACATATTTGTAAGAAATGTGTGTCAGAAGTATAACAAAAGAATAAGGATATTACAAGATATTACAAATATGGATATTTTGAAGTTAAAGCTCGTTTTGAAACATATTAATACCAGTATAGTCGATTCCATACATAAAATTTCTACAAAATCATTAATATATATTAAATCGAAAGAATTTTCAACAGGTATCCAACATAGATATAAGCCTTCGTTTGTAAAGCAATAATTTTGATAATTTAATACTGGATACTTCTTTGCTATATGCATACATAGGTAGTTTATTGCGAGTTAAAGAACCAGAGGCAAAAGGTGAGAAAAAAGAATCAATAAGAATGAAACAATTTCATAAAAAATTAAAATTGCAACCTATACCTAGTAAGTATAATTTGTAATATGTTACATGAAATAACAGTTAAAATTAATATGAGATTTGATTACCATAAATTTATAAGATACAATCATTATAAAAAAATATAATAATAGGGGTACCTCCAAAAGAACGTTTCGTGGACTTAGTACTAGTGGAAACTGATCCAAATAATGGAGAACTAATAACAAATAGCGAAAAAGATCCAACAAAGTGGGGGGATTGGCAAAATGGTGGGCGGGTGAGCGACTTTTAATTCAAAATTCTCATTTCAAGATATAAATATATAAAATATGATGAAGTAACACTTGATTCGTTTAAATTTATAAAATTTATTGTACTACTTGTAAATCTTGTTTGTTCATTAAATAATATTGCAAGTTTCTTCTACTCTTTTATGTACATATTTGTAAAAAAACTACACCAATATGTTGGCAGACAATACATCTTAATTGAACGACATAAATAAATTATTTTTATTTATTAATATAAATTTTATATAAATTATATATAAAATTTAAAACATTTGTTTCAAATGTAATTACTGAAACTGTATAAAGAGATAATTAAAATATATTTCTTTTAAATAACGTCCTAGTTAATATGATCATCCAAAATATGTTTATGTTAAATATGTTTAATGATAGAAAATAATAGTTGAAAAGTAAGCAATATAATATAATAGAAATATTGTATAAGTAAAATATGATACTATAAGGACAAATATTTTAGGTCGCTATTTTATTTGAAACATTCTAACATGTTAATTAAAATATTGTTCACATATATTTTTTATATTATAGTAAAAATAAAATACTATTTTCGTTTAATATATAACATATATTTAAAAATAACTAATTTCATTTTTTAATAAGAACAACCAGTTTTATTCATAAATGATACAGTAACAAAAATTGTATTTTTTAAATTCAATAAGTTAACATGATGTAATGATGATATCTTTTTTATATAAGTCGATAATTTTTTTTAATGCAATTGTAGACCACAGTTGTACGTTTTTATGTTTTACATTATAAACCGAGTCTCAAATAAACAATTTTCATTACCTCCATGCATGTAATATACTTTGATTGTACAATAAGGAAGTTTTTATGTAATTTTTTTGGCATAAAAAATTACTTTTATCTTTAATTATATACAAGGTACTTATTGAAATTATTAAATCAATATTATAAAAAATTCAGAAATAACGGTTATTAAATATTTTTTATATCAAAGTTCTTTTAAAAAAGTAAGTGAAAATATTACATTAAAAATGTATGATTGTATGACATAAAATTAATATTCATAGATACAATTATAGCATTCTCTGTGTCAAATTGTTTTCTAAAATGCATTATTTTATATTTACAGCATAGTTTCATTTTACAGTATGAATACAGTTAATTGTCAAATCACACTTTCATGATACGCGATACACAAAATACAAAATTTTTTTATGAAACGTTAAAATTAAAAATAGCGAGATATTTACAAAGTGGTGGCTCTTACAGCGTAATATTTTCGTTCTACTCCTAACAGATCCATAGACGAAGTATCGAAAATAATGCTCATATAGCATGGTTTTCATTTAATAAAAAAATTCGTTTTTTGCTAAACTGAATTATTTGTGATAAATACATTGCAGATCTATTATTTGTCATTGACGACCTTATAATAAGAAAGACAATTTCTTAGTTAGTTCTAATTACAAATTGAAAATCATTGGAAAAACTTAATTTATAAGTTAAATTTGAGGTACTAATTAGTGAGTGTCGTAAAATGAGAAGAAAAGAATCTAAAAATATAAATATACTTGTCCAAATAATAAATCTTCAGTCTTTCATCTAGCATCGACGGACCTGAAAATTGTAGTTTTAAGGTAGCATCGAATATTAAAGATTATAAATCTTAACATGTTATAAACTATAAAGTTTTATTGATGGCTAACACATCTCGCATCATCATGTTCCTGAGTGTCCATAAGGCATTTACCACATTTCCATGGTTGCCTACACCATTGCCTAACCATTCCGCAGGCAATTTCGTTACATCAGGGATTTGTGTATTATCAGGATTAGCATTCATTTGTTTGTCCCAATTTGATATGTACCGATTTTCTACATTCAGTGCTTCAATATATCTGTAATTGCAATATATTTGCAGTAAAATAATCAAGTATAAATTAAATTGCAGTAAAAATATTCAATTTACTTACCGTAAGTACGCATCTGAATGTAATACGCGACTTGGTCTAGGAGGAACAGCAACAAACATGGGTTCCGGTTGTTTAGCACCAGAAATGTTACTTGTTTGCGTAGCAGCTGCTGATGTTTCTATAATAAAAATGATATGTAGAAAAATTAGAAAATACTTGTAATAAATATTACCTTGAATTTGTTAGAAATAAATAATATACCTGTTTCCATTGGTGGCAATATCGTTGGACCTTTTGATGCCATATAGTTTCTATAATTAAAAAAATGTAAATGAAAGTAAACGGATTGTATTATAAATATGAAAGTATTGTTTCATTATGTAGCATTTTGACATCATACTTGCTTCTTTCCGAAGGAGGTATTATACGTCCATTTGACTTAAGGATATGTACTTCCTTAACGTGCCTTGCAAGTCTTTGTACACTTGGAAATGGAGGTACAGATTTTTTCGTACGGCCACAACCACGCCATTGACATTGAAATTCGACATCTATTAGAATATATATTTCAAAAATTGAAGATTTTATTCGTCCTTTGTGTATATATATATATATATATATATACAAAGTGTACAAAAAAATTATACGTATAGTATTTATCAACACAAGCAAAAAAGTCTTAATAAACGTGAGTTCAAAAACCATTAATTTCGGAGTTATGAGATGTTTTGTCAGTAAAATATTGATCCCCGGCGTTTCCCGTATCTCTTGGCAACATTTTGCGATTCATTATATCAACTTATTTAATGAAGTAATTCGTTTACTATACACTGTACTTTTGTACACTAAACATCCCATAACTTCAAAACGGTTTTTAGACTCATATTTATTAAGATGTTTTGATAAATGTTATATGCCCTTAAAGTTTTTCTCCAACATTTTTGTGCACTCTGTATATAAAATAATACAGATAGCACTTACCGCTTGCAGCATTAATAAAAGACGATTGAACATGTCCATTTTGTTCCGCAATACAATGGTCGATACAATCGGTCATATCTTCAAATTGCCAGTCACAATTATCCCAGCAACATTCATAAACTACATCTTGTAAAGCATTAGTGCCTACTGAAACATTATTTCCTTTAAGTTGCCCACCATCTTCATTCATTTTAATTGCTCTTTCCTCCCAAGCTTGTTTTTCTCCTGCTGGCAATTTCCTCCACTGAAATATAAAAAAATATTTATGTAGCACACTTTTGTTTTAAATAATCTGACATTTCTTTAAAAATTAACTTTTCAGACCTTCTTGATGAACAAATATAAAATAGTCATGAAATGGTAAGAAATTAATTTCAATCACAGAGCTACTTTCCATATGCATATAAATAATTTATATAATTCATACAATACAATTTATAGAACATATTAGTATAATAACAAATGCTATACTAAAAAATGTATGATAAATAAATTATAAGTGAAAATTATGAAATATATATTTTAATATTCAGATTAATTTATAAATTGTATATAATTTTTATTCAAAAGGTAATACTTATCACAACAATAATAATTTATATTTCACTAGATATACCGTACTTGTGTCATATTTGAAAGAAAGATGAAGTATGCAGAATAACATACCTTTTTACAATATTTTACAAAAGAAGTTCATTAAATCTTTTTTTAATATTGTGTTCAAAAATTGAATCTACATACTTCCCTTTCCTTCAATAAATTCTTATAGTAAAAGGAAAATCAACAGTAAAAAATAAATAAATACCTCGTTGCCAACAATTCTGCTAATCTCCCCAAAGGATGATTCAGGATTGTTTTGTGTAATCTGCGTTCGCATTTTACTCGAATATAAAATATAGCCCGTAACTAATTTCTTACCCGCCGTTTTCTAAACAGAAGAAAACACAAATTATAATACCACTGCCTTATGAAAACGGATATTGATATTATACCTTTAGAGGTAAAACATCTAATTGTCGTTCTAATGTTAGATGACAAAGTTTAAACGGTGCAAAAACGAAAAATGTATATGCTGGCATATTTTTCTAAACAAAAATAAAATGAAATAAATAAAATGCTATTTATGAACAAGTTATAAGCAAATAATATCACGATAAGTCCTACCTTTTTAGTCGACACAGGTGTCTGAGTATTGGAGAGCACCGGTTGAGCTTCTGCAGATCCAACGGACGGTGGACCACCAGCATCCATGCTGTCCTCCCCAACTCCTACTCCTACTCCCACTCCTAATCCTACTCCCATGCCTAGTACATCGGGTTCCAGCTTCGGTAACAATGGTGATGCTTCCTATACCATTTATGTTATGTTACGTTCATTATCCGTTACCGAATGTAATATGAATATTTTTTTTAATATTTTAGAGTGATGTAACAATTTCGTATATTAATTAAAATTTTCCTTGACCATAGATATCACGACATTTATATAAACATGACTAATCCTTTCTATTTCTTATCGAAGGTAATAGATTTCATCTGATTAAATACTACAATTTAATACTATATTACTATATGGCTTTATATATCCTTTTAATATTTCAATTGAACTGCTGAATAAATGTTCTAAATCTTGTAGCTATTTAAATATTAGTACTTATGCATTCCATTTAAAGCATAATGCTTTGTTTTTATATTACTTGGGTTAGAGTGACATGGAAGCGAGACTTTTTGGTGGTATTCTACGTATATCATATATGTATATACATACATGTATTAGAGATAAACCCAACAGGTGCTCTGAATTGAAATCTATTAAAAATAATATCTAGTCCTACATAATACTGATATCTCAAAAAATATTTTATGTAAACAAAACACAAAATATATACATAACAAATATAAAAGAAAGAAAAATGAATATGCCGGCATAAAATGAGGAACATGCTTAAATACAAATTGATGCAAACCTGTATCACACGCAAGTGATATTTGCATATACAACAAATTTTATGACAATATTGAAGTTGCACAATTTTTAATATGAATAGTTATGAGCTTGCGTGTGATTATTAAAAAAACATGCATCTCTTTGTATTATTAACCAAAAGGTAAAAACTTATAAATAGAAATTACCATTTCAAATTGAGCTGAACTAGGAGTAACAGACTTGACTTGATTTTGCGTCTGAGCCACATCGCCCGGAATCTATAACACACACATCACATGCAAAGCAATGATATTCAGTTAGTTGCATATCAAATAACAAGCATATCAAATAACATATCGTTATCAAAGTTTTGCATAAAATGTTATCTAAATGCTTAAATTTCATA